ATGATCTCCTAAATGGGCCTATTACCTTTCCTTTAGCAGGCTACACCTTCTCATACTCTAAATCTCCCTGTCTGAATAACTGGAGAAGGACTATCCTTCCTGTGATACTAGGTTTGTGCTCACCTATAACAGAAAAAGAGACAAGACTAACCACTTCCAAATCTGCTTTGGGTAAATGGCTTCAGAAGGAAAATGAGAGTATTCAGCTCCACCCATCAATATGTGTTGTAGTGGATGGAGTCCCTTCAGCAAGGGAATCGGCGACACAGCCTGCTTTGTGGCACTGTCACATTGGCAAAGATCCCTTCTGTGCATTCCTTGCTAAAAGCAAGATGTCATCCGGAGTTTAGAGCCCCCTCTGTGCTGCACCAACTTAAAACAATCTGACTTGCATCAGTGGATTTTACAAGTTCTAAATGCAGTTGTAGCTGCCTCATCACCATTTTCTCTGCAAAATTCTCCATGTAGGAAAAATTAGAAATGTTTGGCGAGGTTTTACCAGCATCGGTTTTTGAAGCAAGCGTTCATGAACAGTTTATGAAGACTCTAGCTTCATTTCAGAGAGCAAAATCTGATGATTTTCAGTTCTTCTGAAGAATGTGCCCAGTGCCTGGTCCCCAAAGTTTTCAATACCAAGATAAGCAGAACAAACAGGACATCTAAGATGAGACCTTCACTGAACATCAAGGGAAGTCATCTGCTTCATCAGAAGTCATTAGAAAAGTACATTTTTGCAGGTACTGTTTTGAACGTGTTGGTCAGGGCCCAAATCCTAGACGCAAAAGTCCTTGTGTCAGTGCTAAAGAGTATTTTGAAGTCTTTAGTTAAATCTTACTGTTTGGCAGTTTATGCATTTCTGAAAGAGTCCTTTGCAGCTTATGGAAAGGATGGATTTTTAAACACAAAAATCATCTAAATAAGATATGGCATAAGAAATGTGCTAATCATCTCCAAGCCAAGAGATGTCATAAAAAGCATCAGTATGATAGATGTGATGGCAAATTGAAGAAAAATATTTCCATTTCAGCCATCAGAAAGCAAAGAAGAATAATCACATGGAAATTCAGAGATGAAAGTATATCCCAGAAATCAAAATATCAAAACAAAATCTTCTGCAGATTAAAACTCGTGATAAAAAAATCACACTAGAGAAATTAATTCATATTAAGCTAGAAGTGATCTATGTCATATCTTGAATAGTTTTTAACTTTAGCTTGAGTCAAAACATACCTTTTCTAAAAGCTTCCAGTCTCAACCTGAGCTTCCATCCTACTGCTATTTTTTTTTTTTTTTCCTCCTGACTTGATTGCTTTCACTATGTACTGTATTTCTGGTCTGGAATTTTCTTCCACTTAGACCATTAGGCAGTTCAGACAGTTTCTGAAAGTGAAAAAACCTCTGCCTTCTCTACAGGGGTTTAGACTTGCTTCAGATCACCTCTTAACCTCCTTTTGAAAAAAATGAATGGAACAGTCATCGTCTTTCTCACCATATAGCAGGTTTTCCAGATTTCAGATTGTTCTTGTTCTCAAAACATTTTGCAGTTTACAGCACCCACTTTAAAATAATTCTGCATTCAATGATAAAACTGTTTTCCTGTTTCTATAAAGTAGTTCTCTGTTTTGCACCCAGTCTACTTCATATTCAGCTGAATATCCGTGATGATTCCCAAGTCTCTCCTGGAGACAATGCTTTCCAATTATGCAATTACCAGGTCTTAAAAATGTAACTGGAAGGTTTGACTTTGCATTTAGTGGAAAACACATGTATCTCTCATCTGTCTGAGGACTGCAAGGTCCTGGTCTATTGGCTTGGGCTCTTAGGTATCAGAGAAATAAAATGGATAACCGATAGTGGTAATAGAAGAGTAAAGAGAAATGCCATTGGTTTGTTTACTTATAAATACTTTATACTCCAACAGATTTACCCATTTGCTAGTTTCTAATTCCCTTCACTGTAAGCCACATCAGTTTTGTGGTAGCTTTAGGGAAGCATGAGCCTGCGTACCCATGTGTTTCGAGTGAGGAAAGGAGGAGGATGCCCAGAACCTCAGCTACCCTACACTTGCTAGACCAGCTGACATAGTGCACTTGGCAGAAGTCATTTTGCCTACTCTGTGTTATTTCTGCACTGCAGTAAAGAATTTGCCAATAAAGAAATTGTAACCTAAGGAATTTCTGCACTTACTTAGAGTTACAAAGGAAGGGTTTTCTTCCAGACAGAAGAGGGGCACATCTCTTACTTAAAAAATGTTGCTAAAGGGCAACCTGAAGGAAGTGCATGTGCTCACTCTCTCATCTGGTCTATAAATTTGTAGGAAACTCAGGAGCCTGGACATGCCAGAGACACTTGGCACAATTTGGGTGCAGTGTAGACAGTACCCTCTTAATTATACTGGTGCTGCTGCTATCGCTATTAAAATAAGTGAATTTTTTCTTCTTGGTGGCTTTAAGTTTGTCATCAAAGCAAAATATTTTAGAACAGCATTTAAAATGCCTATTCAACTGCTGAGTGTTGAGCACATGTTAATACCGTTTTCTCCAGATATGGTAGTTTATGATAAATGTTACCAGATTTTGTGCTGTTCGTGTAGTATGCTACTAAACACAAAGACAAATGGGCCCACTGAAAGGGTATTTCCTTTGGAGGACACAAGCTGCAGACCACCCATAGAATACACAGAAATAATTAAGTTTCAGGATAAAAAGCTAGAGCAAAATATTAGTGTCTTAGAATCCTAAGGAATAAAAGACATTTTTAAAACAAAGACTCTACGTATAGGTGTTTTCAAAAAATAACATGAAGGCCACAACAGCTTTTGGGGAAAAGAAAAAAGAATACCCCATCATATTATCATACTGTTTGAAAAATTATAAATATTGCTGTGCTGCATTTTCATTTCTGGCAAGCTGCAGAGAGGTGTGTGAAATTATGCAGAACTGTGAGGACCTGAGTCTTTATTCATACCAGCCTCTTGCTGGAATAAAAAAATTATTTGTGGAGAGGTATTTGAGAACTACATGGCTGTAAAAAGGATTTCATATGGCCTTGCGACTGAAAACATTGCTTGCAAAAATTGCAGACCCTGCTGTACTGAGACAGAAAGCTCGAAGTAACTTCAAGTTATTTTCTTATATAAAAGTTATTCAAGTAAATTCAAGTAACTTTCAGAGCAGACAGAGAGAGAGTAGAATGTGATTATGGTAGGTCCTCCACAAAACTTCCAGACACTTCAGAGAGAACAAAATCGCACCTATGTCCTACCTAAATATTAGAGACAAAAACTTTCCAAAGACAAAAGTATTGCTTGGGCACTCAGTTTCCCCAGAAGTATTTTCTGGAACAGCTTCTGGCTATATACAATACAGGTAGGTAGCAAAGGTTCAGGCTCAGCCATCACAATCTCTTTAGCAAAAAGATAAAGGTTTGCTGAACTTGAAAGTATAAAGCATTGAAGCTTTGGGTATTAAAGTAGCAAGCAGCATGAGCATATGATTTAAAAGTAATTTTGTATTACTGGAGAAATGTAACCTTTCTCCATAAAATTGTTTTTGAATTTTAGACCCAGCTCTGCAGTCAGTTCCCTGGTGGCTATTTAACCCACCGTACCTCCCAGGTGTCGTGAGGGAACATGACGGTCAGCACGCAACAAGTGCTCCCCTCCCACACAGACATTGCAGTCCCACACTGAGAGGAAACTAGGATCTTTCCAATCTTACTGTTGAGAGGGAGAAAGGCAGTGAAAGAGAGAAGGTCTCCCAGAGCAGTCAGTCATTTGGCTGAAAAGGGTGAAGTTCAACCACCTCCTCTACCTCACTCGGTAATTGCACAAAAGTACAATAGTTGCAAACTGTAAACCTGGGTGTATAATAAAGCACCTTCATAATGTTACCTGCTCCTTAAGGCCAGATCTTACAAATGGATTTGTGAGATTAGAGCGCTGCATCTGCACAAGCCATATTGACTTCAGTTTTGAAGTGTGTAAAGGAACTTGTGTGCTACTTGATCTTTGGGCTGGTATTTTGTATTGGAGCAAGTTTCCTGTGCAGTATGGAATGCAAATGTGGTAAAATGTATACTTCTCTTCCAGTGCCACCAAAACCTGGTTTTATTCATACTGTCACTAAAATAATTTTTAACGTGGAGATACCAGAAAAGTCAAAGGCATTGGGAGAATTATTTGAAAAGTAAATGACCTTTCCTTTCTCCCCACAGTGTCTTTTAGCAACCTAGTGATTCTGATTTATCCTGAAAATAGTTGCCCTGGTAATCTAGAGGATGTGCCACAGAAAACGCCTGTTAAAATAGAGTACAGCATAGCATAACGTCTTTTTTCCTTAACACACACCAAAAAAAAAAGGAATAAAAAGGCTGTTAGTTCTTTTCAGAATCCACCCCTTCTGAAATATTTCCTTCATCTTTAAACTCTGCTTTCCAGATGACTTTAAGCAACTGTTACTTTACAGCACATCACAAATTATATTAAGAAAGTGTAATTCCAAATGGGTCCGATTACTTTGATTAAACAGAGCGCCATGTCAAGAAGGTAGTCTTTTTATATAATAAAAATGATGATAATAGACTAAGTCTCATCAGTCAAAAGGCTTTATTACTGTCTACTGTAGAAAAACGGTTTTGCTGCTGCTGAATGATATATCCCTAGCTAGTCACAATATACCTCATTTCCTGCCTAGATAAGAAAAGATACTAAGATAAAGTGTGAAAGGAATAAGGAGCTGTGTGATATAGATATATGGGAGAATAAAAAATGTTATAAAAGTAAAAATTAAGTTCTGCTTAAAAACTTGTGTTTGAACTAAGTTTCAAAAGAGAAAACAAAGATGCCCAAGTTTCTATGTGCTTACGTTGAATAGGACAGACTTGCTAATAAATCCAGGACCAAATAGGACAGAAGAAAAGACTGTTTACAGACTAAAATACACTAAGACATTCACAGCACCTGGCACAGCTTAAAACTAAATTGTGTTATCTTACTGTAGGTTCAGAAAACTGTCTCGAACAGAAGCTGAGAACACCTCGTCGACGATGTCAGCAGCCCAAAATGCTGAATAGCCCTGAGGACAACATGTACTATAACCAGTTAAATGTGAGTTCAAAGTGGCAATAAAGCTGTTTTACTGGCTTTGTTTCCAGTTAATAATTCTGTTATTAATACCTGTTTCAGCCCCTCCAGCCCCACCCCCACGTTCTTCTGCTCTCGTCTTGAACATGTGCTTATGCTCTTTATCTGTTGCTTTCATGTCAGGATGTCTGCCTTCACGGTGAATAATTGATGTGGTTTATCAAAGACGAGCAAGATGCATGCTTCATCAGGCTCACTTGAGCCCTTTGATCAAAAAAATTATGCTGTGACTTCTGATATTATCAGCATCTGCTTGCATTCAACACAAAATCACTTTGAATTAAAAATTAACGACTTGCTGCTTTGCTTTGACTGTGTGTTCTTGGCCCTCTCCACAGGGAACTCTAGAATATCAAGGGAGCAAGAGGAAGCCAAGAAAACTTGGGTAAATATCTATCTTCTTAGTTCTAAGCAACTGTAAACAGAAGAAGTCCTTTGTGATATTACAGAATATGCAAAACTTTCTAGAGAGGTTTCTAAAAATAAACAATTAACATATTTCTGTGCATTGACATTGGACATTTTCTGAAGAAGCAAATGTAAAACTTGCATGTACTGCTTGCTGTCTGCAGACAGTAGAACTAATTCTTACAAAATATGCTCCCCAGCTCTCTAAGTACTATTACTACAAAAAAAGGGCTTTCTTCATGTTTTTAAGTGTATTTAGCACTAGTGAAAGGTGCCAGATGAAGGGTGTTGAAACTGAAGTTCTCTGACCTAGAACACAGACAGAAGCCCTGCCAGCTTTGCAGCAGCACGCTCAAAATGGGCTTCAGCCCCCCTTAGGGAGTACATTTTAAGAACTGCCAGAGAGGCCACTGAGCCCAAAAGAGAGTTGCTCTTTCTCCATTGAACTAAGTCAGTTCTCATTGTCACATGAGCGGTTATCACCTGGTGATAGGTAGAAATCACTGAAAACAAAACCCAGGCTGGCTACTTACAATTACTGATATATTTCATTGACTGATCACATGGACCAGAGAGAACTGATGGATGCTTGGTCTTGCAAATGCATCTAACTCCAAAAATATACAAGCATTTTCTGTATTATTTCCTCTGTTTTTAATTAATCTTATGAATATAACTGTATGAATAGGAGGACTTTGGGTCAACGTTAAAGCCCAAAATTTTGCAAGACTGTGCAAGATTTGGTTTATTTTATCTCCCTCCCCTAGTTTAAAAAAGTCTGTGTTCCTCTTCATGGAATGGAAACACTAACATAGGACTGCAATGCTCATCATACATCACAGGAAAATGAAAGCCCCTTGATGTCAATAGGGCTTTCCCCAAAAATTGGTGGTGTGGTCTTTGGCTCGTATTCACAGCAAACCATCAGCTGAAATATGTTATCAAAATCATGCCCTACTCATGGAACATACACAGACAAAAAAGCCACATTGCTCAGATGAAATGCCTATTTGATGCAAATAGTTAGTCTATCATTCTGTACACCCAAACTATATTGCATCTCACTGATCCCCAGAACCATTCAGAGTATAATCATTAAAAAGTAATAGCAAAGTAAAAGTATGTATAAAAGCTATATCTTTCTTATCAAATCATCCTGTCTTTTTTTTCCCCTTTCTTGTATTAGCACTCTTCATGTTCACATCCATGGAGAAGTTTCTATTTCTGAAGATATTGACAGAATTAATTTTTTAACTTAATAAATGTTGTTTGTTTTCTTTCAAGCCAAATTAAAGTGCTGGATGGAGAGGATGAGTATTATAAATCACTGTCAGCTGTTGAATCTATCCCTGAAGATGACAGCTTTCTCAGTTCCCCATCTCCTCCTTCTTCAAGAGGTGTGTCTTTTGCTCAAAGCTGAACCTCACTTACTCTATTGACTAATACTGGTTAAGAGTATTTTCATGCTGGTAATCTCTTCCAATTAACTTTGCGCTTGTGTGTTTATATAATATATTAAAAAATACAATTTCAGCTAGTAACTTTCTTTTACTAATTTAGACCTGGTTTTGCAGCCGTAAATTGTCCCACTTAGCTGTATTTCTATAAACAATTCCAGTAAAGGGGTGCAGCACTACCTGGATGTGCTGATGTTGGTAACGGACACATTTCTTTAGCAGCAAGGTTAGTTTATAAAATTTCTGACCCCTTCTTCCTGCTCCCCCCCAGCTGCTGTTCCCACCCTGTGCCATCCCTTCTGTTGAGCTGGCACAACTGCTGGTAGAGCTGTGTGAAAAATAAGATCAAGGAACTGAACTGGATTAAAAGAACTCTGTACTAAAAATTTTCATTTGGAGTCATAGTGAAAAAGTTTTGTATTTCATTAGACTGGTATTAAACATTATGCTTTTTAAATTTCTGTGCTGTGTGTGGCTTTTAACACTACAAAATGTACAAAGTAAAATCATCTAAATAATGATTGTGTCTCAACTTACCTTGTAAATATGTTTCTTATAAAGAATTAGTTTACCATAAGTTTAACTTGAAGAATTATTTCAAATATAAGACGCAAAACAGTTTTAAAGCTAACATTTCACACACTGCTTCATGTAGTCCTTGTGAGTGAAACCATCATTAAGACTAGTTACTCTTGTTATCCATGCAAGTATTTAATTTCTTTCTTAACCTGTATCTCTGGGCTCTAGTGATTCCTACATTTCCACAGCCCTCTTGTATGTAGCAGGGAAAAAAATATCACCTGAAAATTTTTCTACTTGCTTTTCACTTTCTTTCTAAATTCTTAATGAAACAATATGTAACTTTCTATGGAATGCTGAGATGCTTTGCTGGTAACCATTTCCCTGACAGAAACTATTTCATCTTGCTCTATACTTTCTGTTTCTGAGCCACAGTTTTTATCTGTGATAATTATTTGTTTCTTTTCCATACAAGCTCTTGTCAAGAACTTCTAGAAATAAAACGTTCACATGTACCGCCTTACAAATTTGCTCAAAATTATTATTTTTTTAATAAACCACGCTGATTAAATCTGACCATGTATTATATAGACCTAATTATGATCCTTGTTTTTGTCTCCCTTCCAATGGTTTTACCCTGATCTGTGCTAACAAACGTTCTTCCTTGTGGAGGTGCAGTTCACACCTGTTACTTAAGATACAGAATTTCTTACTATTAGGGTTCACTGGCACTATCTTTTTGACCACAGGACAAGGACAGGTGGCATGAGAAATGAGACCCACGTGCAGTCAAGGCATCCATAAGGCAGAATAGAGTTTGAAAGGAGAAAAGGTAATGAAATAGATATTTTAGCAAAAAATCTTTGTGTCTCCTAATAAGCACAGAAATTAAGTCAGACAGGGCACATGAGGATGAGGGAAGGAATCAGCTCTTCCAGGAAGAACAATCCTTCACTCATTCTTCACCTAAAATGTGACAGAAGGTTGAAACTAAAAGTTAAAATCCTGCCAGATTGAAGTCCTTCAGTTCCCTCATTTTCCTCTGCTGTACATCTGTGTAGATGTACTTTAAAGGCACTTTAGAGCCTTTAAAATTTAGGGACTCCTTAAATAGCAGAGAATTGGTGAGTAGCTGCAGATGAATTAATAATATTCAAAAATGCAGTGCAAATAGGAATGGCAACTGATATGAATCCATGTGTGCACATCGGTTTCTTTACATTTTATCAAAATGTAACAAGAATGAGTATTTGTTTTGAAACCTCATCAAAAATAACGTATAACTTTTCCTACACAATATATAAATTCTCCATTAATTTGTAACATATCTGGATAGAAAATATGTTAGAAAATAGAAAAATTATTTTAACAGAGTCAAATGACTTACTCTATTCTTATATTGGCAGAGATCACATGGAGTTCTAGCAATATCAATGCTTTGTGGTTCCATCCTTCCTTTCTGACAACTATTTGGGAAAACAGTTTTATTGTTACTGCAATTCACATCATTATTATGTGTAGTTAGAGTTTATCAATTGTTTTTAGTTAAATGGTAGTGAGGTTACCTGTTAGGTATTATGTCACCTGTCTAAAAACCAACAGTTTACCTTACACTGAGTAACACGTTACTCTGATTCATAAAGAAGGGAGAGTGAAAAATAATACATAATTCAGTGAAGCACTTAAACTAAAGCCTAAGTCCCACTGAAATCAATGCAATTTCAGCACGTGATTAAGTGCTTTGCTGAATGGGGGCCCGAGTTAACAAGAGCAGCTTCAGAACATTAAACAGTAAAGCACAAGCAAAATGCAAACACTCCCTAAGTACACTCCTTAGGTTTCTTCTTTTTTCTTCTTCCCAATTGTTAAGCTTGTATCAATCACAGACATCTGAAATGGACTTCAAAGAGATTTTAAGCAGTTGTTAATTGCATAGAAAGGGTAAAAAAATTCCTTGTTATATGCAGTGCCACTATCTACATCTGCTATACTTTTTCAAATTGGTTTAATGTCGCTAATATTTTTATACACTGAAAAGCTGCTGTTGAGTAGTGTGTTTTCATTCTTGCTACTTCTTGGCTAAAAACTGTGCACAAAGCCAGTCTGTGGATTTTATCATTTCATAACTTATCCCCCTTTCCTCATTTGTTTTTGATCAATTCACTTTACCCTCTCCAGATAACCTCTGTGAGGTGTCCTTCTCTTATCCTCATTTTAGAGCACATATATGCCTTTAGATTATTAAAGAACATATCCTCAACTTGCTGTAGAGCCATGCAGTCGCATCAAAACTGGCCAAAGAGTTGGTTGTTCCCACATTGATGGATGGTGTGTTTGAGTTGGTTGATTTGTGGGTGAAAAGGCATACAGGAGACACGCCAGTGTGATGGTCATGGTCAGGGGGAGCATATCAATGTGAATTGCTTAGATTTTCTCATTTGATTTTGATTGAAGCATTGTTCTGATTTGTTTCCTTTCACGTATATTATCCTGAAATATTAATGTATTTTCCTTAATAGTTCATAACATATCCTGCTCTTAATATTTTATAAAAGTAAAGGGTTTAAATCCTGTTAGGAAGAAGAAAATTTCTTCGACAGTGTGTAATATATTAAACAGTTTTCAGCAGATGGGAGAGAAAAGGGTGAAGCTCAAGAAGGGATTTTAATAGATTTCTTCTGTAGACCTTAATAGCACTAGAAACCGGTTCTTGCCGAGGACAATTTCTGCCTTTCAGTTATGGCAGCTTAAAAACTTCTCTCTGTGCCAACAAAAATCGGGCAGGGAGCTTTTGGAGATTAGCCCCTTTCATTTGGTAATTTTAAACGTGCTTCTCACTTAAACATTTACATCACTTCAGTAACATAAAGGGACCTTAGAATAGGAGTAAATTGCAGCCATCTTAAATTTGCCCCCGCTGTGACCTCCCTCACCCCACACACTGTAAGAGTGGTGGAAAGGGCTTTTGTGTGCTGAAGGTCTTTTAAATGGCCCCTATCATGCCATCCAAGGAGTTGTTGTTACTTAGAAGCTTATAAAATATGGCTGTAGATAATGTAAAGATAAAGACTTTGCTAAGTCCAGTTTGACCAAAAGTTGATCTTCCTTTCGGTGGTAACAATCCAAACCAAGCTTTAGTGGTAGGTACAGAAGGTAACCCACACTGGACAATTACAGTGTCATCTTCCTGGAAGGAAAGTTTCTTCCTAGTAGGAGGTAACTACTGATTATCTTATGTCATTTAGCATAGTTGCTAATATAAGCATAACACTGATATACTCATATATTTCTATGATATTTTTCTGTATTTTATGTAACTGTGAATGTTTATATTTCCAAGCAATTGTCTCGTGGTGTTTTAATTCCACTAAGTTCCTGACTTCTGGTACACCGTGGTATTAAATGCTATACACCGCACGCATGTGCACACAAACACAAAGTGGATTTATTGTTTCAGTTTTAAACAAAAGGGATGTATTTAAACATGGTCCTTTTTAATTGAGTTGGAGACCTTCTGACTTGTGCTGTCAGAGGGTAAAAGGGAGCTACCAATTTACTTTCTTTATATTACTTTTTTATATACCCCTGGTTGCACCCTATAAAAATTTGTAAGGAATCTCCTAGTGTTGCTTTTTTCTATATTTAGATCCCTTCAACTATTGCTATACTTTATTTAAAGATAATATTGACTGCTTAATGTCCAACCTTCATTGTCATAACCAACATCCATTATTGTGAAGGAATATTTTTATTTATATCTCTCTCCTCATGAAAAACAGGTATGGTTTTAACTATTGAAGATATTGAAAATTAAAGATAAATAAGAAATTAAAGATATGTAGTGTCTTTAGGTCTATTTTTATTTGATATTGAATTCAATAAACAGTAGGAAAACAGGATGAGTTTCATACATTTCATTATGCGATTGTCTCTGACAGTGCAAGACATGTGCCCAAAGCCTGCAGTTTTAATACACAATGGTCCTCTTTTCAGTATCCATTGATCTTTGCTTGATTTCATGCATATGAGGACAGATGATCAAATCTCACGTTTTAGAACTCAGATCCATCACTGTAAGTAGAGTTTCTTCACAAGTTTATTCTTTAGTGAAAATTAGGAAATGCATAATTTGAGGAAAAGTTATATGATTTCATGGAGAGGGAGTCAGAAGGTAGTTTTGTGGTAGAAGCAGATGGTTGGAGGTCAAGATGTCTGGGTGGTACTACTAGCTATTTTACACCAAATTTGAATTGATCTAAAATGGGATTTAAGTCACAATTTTAAAATTTCACCTTTTTAAGAAAAAGTAATTTTATAATTGAATATTTTTTCTCTCCTTTTGTAAGGAGAGAATAAAAAAGCAAGGGGTAGTGCTTTTTTATTGTAAAATAGTTAGCAATGAGATAAATAACTGAAGTCTTATATACTATAAGAGAAATACTCTTATTTCTCATTGCCTTTTTTTTTTTTCCCAAAATGGAAGGAGAATTTTGAGAGACAGCCAAGCTCTGGCATTTTTAAATGCCTTCTGGTTAACCAGGTACATATAGTCCATACAATTAAAAATAATAAAGCCATATGGCACAAAAGTATCATCCTATAAGAAACAGGTAAGTACTTTTAGTAACAATATATGCAGAAGACATGGCATGTAATAAACTTATCCATCCTACTTTTAACTCTGACAACAAAATAGGAGAAATATGTCAGTTTTGTTTTTAACACTAGAAATACGCTCTGTTGATGTGCTGTTTCTTTGAGACTGGTCACCCTGGGAGGAGTTGTAGCAGAATGCTTAGTTAACAGAAAATGTTTCTGCTTGACAAGAAAGTAGGACTCCCAGACTGACAAAAGTAACACAGGATGGTATGAAAATCAAAGGCCGGTGAGCCATCCTCTGCGCCAGAGCTAAAGGTTACAGAACTCAGTGAGAGGCTTTGTGTCTCCT